CAATACACCCTATGGGCAGAAAAGTACAGCATTCTCCAGGAAAGCAGTTGGAAAATGAAATTTACTTTGGTTTCTCATGTCCTGAAAAGGAAACATGAGAATCCTCTGCACTATAAGCTCCTGAAAATTGGATGTTTTCTTCAAGAAGAAAATACAGAAAATAAATTGGGAGATTGTCACTTCATTATAGTAGCAAAACTCAAATAGAAAATAAGAACACACTAGGAGAAAACTGAATTCTTTTGATATCAAGTTCCTTCTCACTACTTTCCAATTTTTGGTTCAGCCACCATGCTGAAAACTCAATTGCACTTAACCTGTCCTTGAACTCACCATGAAATTATGGCCAATTTCGGGCAGCCACATCAAGTGACCTTAAAAGGAGCAAGAGATATAGGTCATTCCTGGGTAACATTCTATTCCATGAACAGCCAGTATAGGAGGAACAATAAATTCGTAATTGGAAAAACAACTTCATGGTACCATGGACTACAGCCAAAAAAAGTCAAGAGTACAAAAGCTCATGTCGGAAGTGTAAGTGATGTGGTTAGATATCAGTTGTAAGTGCACAAATGAGGATATTCACAGAACTATTTGAGCTCATAAACCAAGTCTCTGTCTCTCCATAGAAACAGAAGTGAAAAAAAATAATCAAACCAAATCCCAAAAGCTTATTGTGCTAAATACAAACAGCTTTCTAAGTTATTGACTATCTTTTGAACAAATCTGTGATATAGTCAATAAAGTTAACTTTTAAAGAAGGCAAAGCCCCAACACACTCTCCCCCTGCATGTGCATCTTATTTTTGTGTATTATTTCTTATGATTTCTATGCATTTCCTTTTGGCTTTTCTGCCACCATTCTTGACAGATTGTACTTCTGCATAAAAGCCATTCAAAAAACCCCTGAACTGACAATATGCTAATTTAATTTGGAGATGGCAAAGAAAGAACACTATTAAAGTCATAATAGTGGGGAAAAGATGGGAAAAGTTTCACTTCCATCTTTAAAGAACTTTAGCTTTACACTCTAATCCTAAACATTTCAGCAGAAGGATTAGAAAGATTGGTGCAATCTAGCTTAGAGTTTTATGACACACAAGAATTCAAGTTCTAAAGGAACCATCTGGTTCACTCAGTTCACTGCAACTGCAACAGATATTTAATCCTGAAAGGTCAATGCCCCATCCATATATACAAACTGGAACACTTCCAATGCACTACAATATTAAAAACCTTTTTAAATAATAGAAGTTACTTAAAAAATGTAATGCTAGGGTGTCAAAGGAAATAACAAACAGAACTATGCACAAGCAAGTAGGCCGATGGCCTATATTTCTGAAGTGACCTTTTAAGTATTTTATACTTAACTCAGAATTCTAAATAAGGCTAAGAACTATTTTAAACAATTATGTTTCAATTATATAAGACAATGGTGACAAAATTAAAACTTAGATCTGATCCAATAACTATCACTAGGTCTGCTAGTGTGGAGGAGGTGATAAATATCCACTTTCAGCTTCGAATTTCTTGTCTTTTCTCTGTGTTAAGTCTTCTGCATTAAAAAAAAAAACACCTAGTTTTCGTTTTCTCTGTTCCGCCTACAGCCACCCCACCTCTGTTTCCCATCTGTCTACTCATTTCTTGCTGTTCTTCAACTAAATAACTCCCCAAAGATCTGTCTTGGCTCTGTTTGCCAGTTTAACTTGGCCAGTCCCACCACTACAGCAGGCTAGAAGGCTGCAGGTAACCCAGCTGCTTGGTTTCCACCAGTCTGTCAAGCAGGCTTGCTACAGCTTTGTTAACTTTATGTGTCTCCAGTTTCAGATTACAGGCTTTAGGTACACCACTTTGGAGCATTAAGGAATATTTCTTTCTAAACAATTCAGTATTTAATAATGTAAAATAAAAAAATACAGTACATACTTCAAATACCAATTTTAAGGAAGAATCTGCCTTATTCTTCCATCTTGCTCTGTTTAGTATTTGATTCTTTTAATGCTTCACTATTCCATTTCTGAGGTTTAAGGGCTGCTTAGCATCTCTATCCATGCTTACAAAAATGCAAATAAACAATAATTATGATAGCATGCATGTTTCCAACCCTGAAAGGAAAACACTGAAAGGAATTAATGCAACTTTTCAGTTACAAACCGAGCAATAAGTAAAAGTAGCTATCACAATCACTGATGTTTTATTTTTTGTACACGCCTTGAATGAAACTACAACTAGACAAGATACTTTATATTCTCAAATATTTATATTCCTTAAGGAGCCAGTTTCTACTTGTATCCTTTCAACTGAGAAATTCAGTTCTAAGGAGTAAACTATCAAACTTCTTTTAGCAAAGGCCAAATTGAATTAGTCCAAGGAAACTATGAACACACAGATACTCCAGTCACTATGTTTACCTAATACATGGCAAACCTGGGAAAAATGGGACAAGAGTCAAAGGCTGAAAAAGGTGTTTCCATGAAAGATGTTGCAACACTCGGCATTCAAGTATGTGTTTCTTGAAATGTAAACAGAAATTCAGAGCTAGCCACCATTGTGTCTGCTTCATTGTACTGAATTGCATCAAAAAAGGAAGGTCATCAAACATATTCTGTTATCCCAAGATAGACTGCCTGGGGCACAACTAAACTGCCATGTCCACATTAACTTACCCTAACTGAAGGGAACCTTTTTCTTCATTTGTAACATAACTTCTTGCTTTACAGCCATCAGGAATAGCAAAAAATCAGTTTATCCTTGTCTCAATTTCTTTTAAACACAGTGGCAGAAACCAGTTCTCCCTAATGCTTGGTTTTGTGCCTTTGATGATTCCCAAGTAAATAACTAATTGCACTTGACCCTATTGAATTGCATCATCTTTCTAATCAGACTCTTTGGGCTTCTAATACTGACATCAAACAAATATAGCCAGGCAGTCCTCTCCCTAGTCACTTTGTTGCCTACTGAAATAATCAATCATACTGTACTTTCCATAATATAATCTATAAATATACATTAAAAAACTGGTCTCAGATCCATGAAAAACCCCACTAACAGTGAGTCACGTGTGAGGGTTCTTGCAATACCACTATGAAGCTTTTCAGTGCCTGCCACATAGTAATTTTATTTAGATCTTGAATGCTTCTCCTTATCATCAGTGACAAACTCTGCTCAAGTCAGGACATCTGCTGTTTCTTCCTTACTCATAAACATGCTATCCTGTTGCAGAAAACCAATAGAAGAGAACAATGTCTTAAAATCCATGATGGCTACTACACATCAATATGGGGTGCGGGAGCTGAGGAAGGGCTAAGTTGTCCAGAATGGCAATTTAAAAAATAAAATAAAATAAAAGCACACACACCCCCCACCTATTGAATAGAGTTAGTCTAGAGAAAATTATAAGCACAGATGGCATCTCTAACCTTCAATCATGAACAAGGGTATCAAGCACCTGTGTATTCCAAAACTTACAGCACAAATCTAGAACATGATTTACAGGAAAACGACTTAGAAAAAAAATTGGACTGACATTTGAAAAACTGGATTTCCAAAGGAAGAAGAACTGAGTTTTGCTTCAAAAGGTTAGTGATTTGAACATTTCTTTAAGAGATGGGAGACCTAGATTCAGTTTTCTCTACAACTTGAGAGGATTGAAACCTGCAATCCCTTACATCCAACAGAGTATGCCAACCACAAGTCTAGGGAACAGCCTAGTTGAATCAATTTTTAAACCCTTCCTTGAAGCTCTGTATATGGGAAGAATGGCTGAGGTCACTTGGTTTCTTCAGCCTGAAAAATAGGACTCTGAGGGGAGACTTCAGCTGCAGTCCACAGCTTCCTCATGAGGAGAAGAAGAGGGTCACGCACTGATCTCTTCTCTCTCATGACCACTGTGGGAATGGCATGAAACTGTGTTAGGGAAGGTTTAAGTTGGATATCAGGAGAAGGTTTTTTACTCAGAAGGTGTTAAAGCCCTGGAACAGGCACCCCAGGAGAAGTGGTCACAGCACTAAGCCTGCTGGAGTTCAAGAAGCATTAGGAAATGCTTTCAGACAGTGCCATTTTTGGTGTTACCCTGTGCGGGATCAGGGGTTGGATACAATGATCCCTGTGACTCCTTTCCAGCTCAGGATATTCTATGATGCTGTGATCCTATTATGACAGGCAGAACACTCAGCTGAAAATGAGAAGTCTTCTGTTTTGTGTCACTGACCTCAATATGTATGTGCATATTCTCTGCAGCTTGTATTTTAACATAAGCATTTGCATATATGCAGACAAATAACATCTCATTCAATAACATTCAATAAATGTACATTTTGTGGGCACTGTGCGATGTTTTAGAAGTAGAGTCACTGGGGTTTACTTCCTATGCTTTGAAATTTTTAATATAGTTTAAAAAAAGTAAAATTTTAAGGAGTCCATAAAGTACTATCCTTCATTTAGTCCAAAAATAATTGCAGTCTTCTGAGATTCATAGAGCACTTCTTCCTCTGACCAGTAGTTGTACTTCCAGCAAGATGCACACACTCAAAGGGAGCAACTGATATGCCTAAAAACCTAAGTGACTAAATCACCATAGAATACCAACAGTATTCACACATGCTCAGTTGTCAGACATTGAAACATGGTATAAAAAAATTACATTGTATGCCATTTTAATATCCTGAAAAGTTCATCCTTCTAAGAAATATCTTAATTTCAATACAGAAAGACTGTTACCAAATACTCTATTTGTTCATACTCTGCAGCCTTGCTGTGAGAGAACACAGCATAGTTTTTTTAAAAACAATGAAATCACCTGTTCAATTTATTACACTGTATAAATATTAATAGCCTTGAGCATGTGGTTCTGCAAGATGAAAGGTATAAGTGCTATAATTCTCTGATTACATTATTTTAGGATTGAAATCACTCAGTTCTTTATAGCTAGAGATGACTTCTAATCAGTTAATCTAAGATAAGCCTAAACAGATCACTAGATGTCCACATCATTAATCTTACCTGACAGGCAGATGTATGTTAAATATTCACCCTGACCCCCAGTAGCTAGGAAAGGAATCTTTTTTTTTGTTCTTCTTTTCACTTGAACAGCTCCCAGCATCCTTTCATCATGAGGGGCAAAAATTTCTTTGCTGATTGCAGATTTGGCATTCATTGTAGATCACAGGTATAGCCAACTGCTGCTTTCTAAAATAAAATCATAAATATAAAATAATATTAGAAACTCTGAAGTATGTGAAAGTCCAGTTAATTTACATGGGCATTAAAAGCCCTGAGCTTCAAATAAAGGTTTTAATGACTTATAGAATTTAGAAGATAATTTCATATTCTTAGAGGCAGAATTTTCAAAGTATTCAAGTATCTTCACTGAAGTTGCTCTCTACATTTAAGTTTACTTAAACTAGCTAGGCTTATTTGGGGCAGAAGCCACTCACACTAGAACTACAATTTGTTGCAAAATCTCAGAGAAACACCCTGCGACTTCATGAATTATAAAAGCTTCATTAATTCCCCCTCTGATAACTGGAGAGAAACTCAGATCTATGTCCCACACAAAGAGGGAAAACACTGCAAGGGCATAGGGAAGGAGCACTGTGGTTGTGCTGGTAAACCACCACATTCAAAGAAGCTATACAAAACTTCAGATATGGTAAGACTGTTCCTTCAGAAGCACTGCTCCTGGTGACAGTACTTGATTGCTCAGCTCTTGCACCTCTTGCAGCTTTAGCACCTCATCCCCTCAATTTCTCTGTAATTACAAACTGGACACACCTGCACAGGAAACAGTGTCAGAGAAACCATCAGGGTTAAGGCACACAAAACCACACCTCTACTTTTCTGCTAAGTTATTTTGACCCAGGTCAGTTCCTCAATGTGTTTTGTAAGGAAACAGCACAGTCAACTTAGGAGAGACATTTGGAGAGAAAAAAATTATTGTAGAGAACAGAGAGGGAAGAAGAAGGGACACTGCTTAGTCATGTGCCTCCTGCAAAATAAAGATCGATCTGACCACTGCTTACAGAGGAGCCTAACTAAAGGAAAGATCTCAGAGGGGACATTAATAGGTTCTTTGTGTAAACAGCACCACAGCTGTAACTCCAGTTAGTTCTGCTTTGAAATCTTATACTACATACACAGGCCACACTCATGGAACTGCTGAATACCACCTCTATTGTTCAAATAAAATGACACTTCAATATACATACATTAAATTCCACATTTCTGTATTAAAGACTTTCAAGCTGAGATATCTTTTTGACATCCTTAGCTGTCTTAGTATCAGTAAGATCATCTTCAGGTCTGAACTACTGAAGCCAGTAATTCTGCCTGTGGGATCATCTGATACTTGCCACACTTTTAAATAAATATAAATAAATTGCAGTCACATTAGATTATGAAACCAAGAGAGTCATTATTTTTAGTGTGCATACTACTAGAAAAGTACTTATCTTAACACTTTCAGTCTCAACATTTTGTTGTCACTATTTATGATATTCCCTTATTTTTAAAAAAATGGGATGGAGGGGGGGGAAGCTGTTTTCATGGATATGTCAGACAGCACAACTTAATCTGTTTGGGATGCAAACAGAATCCTTTGCCAAAATAATCTGTAACAGTATACCTCAGTTAACCACCATAGAAGTATTTGAATTCTGACACGTTTTAGCATTAGGTCATTTTACACGCACCTTTAAAGAAATCAATTGCATTTAAAAATTTGCCCTATTAAAAGAAAAATCCAGACCAACTTCAAAGGAAGAAAAGAATGAGCAGCTCCTGACAAGATAACTCCTGACATGTAAATTACCTGTCCTTTAATAACAAATACATTGAATAAAAGCAGAATCAAAAGAATAAGTTTACCTGGTAGTTATTTAGAAAAGGTTGGTTTTGCATTCATTATACCCCACTTCTCTCCTCTTCTGTATTATGGAAATATCTGAAGAATAACCTATACCAGCACGTAAACTGTTGGTACATTACAACTAGTTTTTGGGTTGAATTTTTTTTTTTTTTAATTCAAGACCACTGTAAATGACAATGGGTTTAAATATACAAACCTCCTCCTGACTCAGATAGAGATTGATAATTTTTGCAATAATAATTTCAATCCTAGACCTTCATATGCTTAATGAATTTTCAATAAACAGCTATTTGGAAAACATATATAAATGCTGTCTGGTAAAAATATACTCCAGTGACGTTCAACTGAAAAAGTGCTCTCCAGATTGCAACAACCTGATGCTGCTAAATCCAAGTTGCTGAATAGATGTTTTCAGATGTTTTCTTAATGTTCATGGATTGCAAGATAAAGTATGACTCCAAAGATACACTCAGTGATGTAAAGGCTTCCTGGATTAAGAGAGAAAGAAAGTTTTCCTTACCTGTAGTATCAGAAAATGTTATGGGTTTATAACTTCAAAACTTACACACTGTACTTCAAGGTTCACTTTATGAATATTAAAAGCAAGAGGTTTCACTGCATTTGATAAGATTCTGCTGAACAACAGGCAAATCAAACAAACGAGACACTATCCAAATACAGTTTCATAGATTTCTCAAATCATTTTACTGTATTTGTGCACTGCAACTTACAGCATGAAACTAGAATGTCAGACATATGCAATAACTAAAATAAATGCAAAACCTAGATTTCATAACATAACTCTCTCTATATACACTCATCCCTATCTCTTATTCAAGTGCTTTTATGCACAATCAACATGCAAATAAAACTTTATTTAAAGTCTAGCTCAACATGGTATCCAAGACAAATTAAAACTCTTGTTTCAGTGCAGGCACAGAAGATACAACATAGAACAATCAAATACTGCAGCTTACTGCTGCATGCTGTCGTTGGCTTTGTGATTAAACTGATTTTATATATATCAACCAGAAGCTGTACACAGACACAGTATATACCCAACATTGTAACTGGAACCTGCAACTAAAGCGTGCACTGACTGTGCCTCGGAGGTTGTGATCCTTCTGTTCCTGTACTTGGGTTTACAACAGCTTCAGATACCATATTCAAGTAATTAATCTAACACAGTGTGTACTTGACGTGACTGCCAAATCTAATGTGAAAATTGATGCTAACACAAACCAGAGAAGCCTATTTATTTAAAGAAGAAAACAACTAACTGTGCCTGTGTACAAACAGACTTCTGAGATTGAGCTGTTATTGTAGTTCGGATGAAATCATTTTTCATAGGTCAAAAAATCAGCAGCTGAATTTGAATAAGCAACCTTCTCCCTATTTAGTAGTGGATGTATGCAAAAGACCATTGCTTAAATAGGTAAAACATTCCAATATTCCTCTTTTTCACAAGGGGACATAATACAATCTTTGTCAGTTTTACAAAAAAAAAAATAAAAAAATAAGGAAGACTTGCTCAAGGAACACAAATAAGTCTCAATTTTTCACATTCTCCAACAAAACCCCTATTCTCATACAAAAAACTCGCTGCCTGTACATGCACAACTTCATGTAGTATACACATACTTCTTTACACAGTAATGTTTTTTCTTGGCACACATTCCAGGACAAATTCATCAGCAGTTTCCACTCATGGTCCATATGAACTCACGCACTGGAACACAAACTTTTTCCCCTATACTCCAATAAAAAATGCCTTAAAGAAGAGACTTTTACTGGAGGATCTCTGAACACTGAGACAATGCATTACTGTTTGTAACATTTATCCCTCTGAAGGAAGGGGGGTATAAAGGTTTCAGTAAATCTAAGTCCTTAAAGAGAGACTACACTTCCCACTTCACGTGCTTTGTCCTGCATATTTAATTCCACTCAAGTTATTATAATGATGATTTTGGCTGAACAAAGAAGATCCCATTTTCCTCCTGTGATTTTTCACTCCATCCACCACAATATTACGGAACAGGATGTCAGCATTTACACTGTGCTCCCAGCACACAACAGAAACACCGAGAGGGAATATTCCTGTGTGGATTTGAAAAAGTGCCTGCAATGCGCTGCTCATTTGCATCTTCTCACATCTTTCTCTACTACAGTTCTTCTCCATCACATTTCTATCACTAAAAACTCCTCCTATGAACAGCTGACTATTCCTCTGAAAGTGTGTGAGAGGACAGCAATTAAAGGCAATTTCTTAAAAAGAATATTAAATAAAACCAGGTGAATTAAACTGACTCCCTCATGGATCCCATACGTTCAGTAACAAAAAATTGGACTGTTCTCATCAGCCAGAATCTCAGACTGTTTCCAGGCAGAGAGCCAGAAAGTAGCTAACTTACATCCACTTTATATCCACATATTTTAAAGGACTCTATGCAAATAAGTGGAAAAAAGGAGATTTACGGTATCTTTGTTGAGGTATAGGTATACAGAAGGAAGTGGGGAAACTAATCCTCAGCATGCAGAATTCAAATAGGAGCAAGTTAGAAAGGAGAAATGAAATACAAAGGAAGAGAAGGAAGAGCATGTTATGTTTTCCAAAAGAAGACAAAATGTTCAGTATGTTAAACCTTGCTATTTTCAAGGATCTTTAATCACAAACAGGGATGGGTTCACAGGACAGGCTAACCACTGAAATGCTGCCTGAAGTGTGAAATCATCTGAGCAACCTACTATTGTTGGATGGAATCGTAACTCTACCAAGCACTCAAATCTGGTTTTAATAAAGCCACTATCTTGAAAGAGGACATCTACTTTAGGAAATCATTACAGGACACTGTTGCCAAAAAGTACAGCTTTTGCTATTGTAGTAATTGTCTGGTATTTACTTGCTTGAAGTGTTTAAACTACTTCAGTCATTACTGGTCATCAAAATTCTGTATTTGCTGTCATCTCAAACAAATAGTTAGTACAACTCTGGAAAAAGCACAAAATCATTTAAAAACCAAGGCAACTTTGGTACTTCCTACCAAAATGGGTTCACGACTTTTAAAAGGATTTACTGGAAAAAAAAATGCAGTCATGATCCAGAGTTATTTGTAGAGAGTCACATTTCCAATTTATTTTTCTTAAAAGTCTTCAGAGGTCAGCTTAACTCTTATGACCTTTTAGACATGGTTAGATCTTATGATGAGTTATTATATCCACCTTTAGACTTCCATTTGCAGGACGAACAGTTTCTTCTGCCATTTCTCGCAGATTTCCTCCTCCGAACACTTCTGCTCTCCAGACTGTTTCCCATTGCCC